TTTTTTTTCTTCTAATTTTTGATGATGTTTACATAGTTGGCCAGGGTGGGAAGGGTGGAGGACTAGGAGACAGTGGGTGAGAACATTGTTTCCAAATTTTCCCTTTCTTGAGCCTGTATCTGGGGGAAGGAGGGAGATTAGGCCAGCTCGCTCCTTTCCTAGATGCTTTAGCAAGTAGCTGGACTGAAATGGAGCAGCTGCGACTCAGACTGAATGGGATGCCAACATCTCAGGCTTAACACACATAGTGCCACAGTGCCTAGGGGCAACAGTCTTAGAATTTCATCTTCCATGAACCAGTATCAGAAACAAACAACCCAAAGTAGGACACAGGTGGCACAAATCCCAAATGGCAGAGATGGAGGATTTCCAGTGTGGTCCCAGTTAAACTTTGGGCTCCCTGACTCCCCAAAATACTATTTTCTTGTCACTGTAAAAATGCTTGTAGGCAGCTGATACCGCAGCGTGGAGAAAAGGTAGTCTCTGAGCAGAAGGACGCTTGGCACCTGCTAGATGCCCTGAAATCCCAGGAACTGGGCTGGCTTGCCAGAGCAGCTAGGACACACAGTCAGTTGTTAATTTCTCCACTACTGTAAGAACATTAGAGCACTTGGGGAGTGCACTCCTTACCTTGGCTGGCTTGCCTGTTGATGCCATTAAAGTTAGGCCAGGGGCCAGTCCTGTGACATACTAGGCAAAGCTTCTGCCTTTGGCACTGGCATCCCATATGGGCACCAGTTCAAGTACCAGCTACTCCATTTTTGATCTTGCTTCCTTTTTATGTCCTAGAGAAGCATCAGAGGATGTCCTAAAGTCTTGGGAACCTGGACCCTAGTGGGAGACCTGGGAGAAGCTCCCAACTCCATGCTTCAGATCTGCTCTGATCGGTTCAGCTCTGGCGATCACAGCTATTTTGGAAATGAACCAGTGACAAACCTCTTTGTCACTCTTTGCAACCTGTGTTTCAAACAAAATTTAAACAATTTAAAAATTATGCAGTGTTCTCGCTGGGTGGTTCAACAGACAAATCCTCCACTTCCCATCCAGCTCCCTGCTTGTGGCCTGGGAAAGCAGTCGAGGATGGTCCAAAGCCTTGAAATGCTGCACCCATGTGGGAGACCCGGAAGAGGCTCCTGGCTGTGTTTCAGCTCAGCTCTGGCCCTTATGGCCATTTGGAGAGTGAGCCAGCGGGTAGAAGGCCTTCTCTGTCTCTACTTCTCTCTGTAAATCTGCCTTTCGATAAAAGATATATCTTAAAAAAAAAAAAAGGAGGGTGACGCAAAGACAGACTTATTCAAGAGACTAGCAGTGTTAGGAGGAAAACAGGTATCTTCAGTCTCAAAGTGCTTTTCCCCATTTGCCAGTCAACAGAAAGACTTTTACAAGGAGAAAGGGAAGTTGATAAAGGGTTCCGTTGAATGATCATCAGGCAGGTTCCAAGGGTCACTTCTGTTAATCAACTTGATGGCACTGGTTATGAATTCATCTGGCTGAGAGGTCAGTTAAAACTAAACTTGGTTGCAAATTCCCGCTTTATCTGCAGTCTGCTTTTCTAGCCATGTCCTGGAATTCCTAAGCAAGCCTTATTCATTTGTGTAACTGAACAAACATTCTCATTAGTGCAAAGATTAGCAGTTAGCTTTCTTAAGTTAGAATGTGAAAAGTGAAAAGAAAATATATTGATTACAGTTAAAATACAGTGTATTAAATTTGTGCATCCCAAGCAGCTCTAACTGATAGGCCAAATGACTGTCCTTCAGCAACATATAGATCAGGTAAAAGTGGTTATCATTTGTAAACATGGAGAAAAAAATTATAATGTTTTCATTTTTATTCAGATCATTCTATTTTTTTTTAAAGATGTATTTTATTTTTATTGGAAAGGCAGATATACAGAGAGGAGGAGAGATAGAGAGAAAGAGCTTCTGTCCGTTGATTCACTCCCCAGGTAGCCGCAATAGCAGCCGGAGCTGAGCCAATCCAAAGCCAGGAGCCAGGAACCTCCGGGTCTCTCATATGGGTGCAGGGTCCCAAGGCTTTGGGCTGTCCTGGACTGTCCCAGGCTACAAACAGGGAGCTGGATGGGAAGCAGGGCCACCAGGATTAGGACTGGTGTCCATATAGGATCCCGGCACATGCAAGGCGAGGACTTTAGCCATTAGGCTACCCACGCTGGACCCTCATATTATTAATTCTTAGTGAATGGAAGAAAATCGTTGCTTGGAGATTGTTGGCTAGTACTGTCTGAGCAAATAAGGCTATATTTCTGGGAAATTTTGCACATTATTACTATTCCTCTGATTTAAAAAAAAAAAAAAAGGTTTATTTATTTGAGAGGCAAAGTGACAGAGACAAACGTCTGCAGAAGCCAGTGCTGGAGCAGGCAGAAGGCAGATGGCCAGCCCTCTGTCCAGGTCTCTCCTGTAGTGGCAGGAATCCAAGCACGTGGGCCATCACCCACTGCTTTCCCGGCGAAATTAGCAGTAAACTGATCAGAACTGGTGCTTTGATGCTTGAATCTCCGCGAGCACCAAGATGTCCCACTCTGTGTCTAGGTTAGTTATGATTGGAAGTTGCTTGGCACATGAAATACTTTTATCTCACTTGATCTATATTGATTAGTATTTTCTGTCAAGGGTTTCTCAATTTCTTGGTTCTGTTCACAATGTTGTCATTAGAAGAAAGACGCCAGAGCCCTCACTCACTGCTGTTACTCAGAAGCCATGATTTTGGCCATTGTTTTGTTCTTTTGAAACAGATGTTCTCTTTTTTTTTTTTTCTTTGTGCATTAATTGAATATTCCCTCAGTGCCCTTCTTTGCCACACTCATGTGAAGCTTGCTGGAGGATTAGCCTGCTATACCACCATGCTGCCCCTTTCCCTTTTTGCTGGTTTCGTATTTTTTTCTGTACTTGAATTATTTATCGCTAGAGATTGAACAACTCCCTCTGAAGTTAACTCAAAAAATTATAGTCTGTCTGATCTTTGAAGCTTTTATGATCTTGCCTAAATTTGACATTTATGCATTTAATTGCAGAGCTGTATGATAGCGGAATCTTTCCTAATCATTTTGAGAGTCATGGTGCTGGTAATGAAAATAATGCAGTTGTGGATTTACCTTTTTTATAGTTAAGTTGGGCATGTGAAGTGTCTCCTATGCTAGAACTTCTCTGCCGTGGAGCTGGAAATCTTGATATATTGATTTATTTACTTGAAAGGCAGAATGACAGGGAAAGAGTGAGTGGTGGAGGGCCTGGTGGCGTGGCCTAGTGGCTAAAGTCCTCACCTTGAACGCGCCGGGATCCCATATGGGCGCTGGTTCTAATCCCAGCAGCTCCACTTCCCATCCAGCTCCCTGCTTGTGGCCTGGGAAAGCAGTTGAGGACGGCCCAAAGCTTTGGGACCCTGCACCCGAGTGGAAGACCTGGAAGAAGTTCCTGGTTCCCGGCTTCGGATTGGCATAGCACCGGCCGTTGTGGTCACTTGGGGAGTGAATCATCGGACAGAAGATCGTCTCTGTCTCTCCTCCTTTCTGTATTATCTGACTTTGCAGTAAAAATAAATAAATCTTTTTTTATTGTTATTAACATTGTATTATGTGATACAGTTTTATAGGCACTGGGGATTTCCCCCACCCCTCCCATGCCCCTCCCCCCATAGTGGATTCCTCCTCCTTGTTGCATAACCACAGTTCAAGTTCAGATGAGATTCCTTCATTGCAAGCATATGCCTAGTATAAAGTCCAGCGTCTTATTGTCCAGATAAGTTCAGTGGCCTCTTGGGGAGACCTTCTCTGGTCTGAAGGTAGAGCTAACAGAGTAAAGTTCTAGTCAGTTAAAAGCCCCAACAAAACCTCAGTATCAATATACAACATTATGGAATTAATTGACATAGTACTGAGTAAACAATATGTTAAAAATATAAATAAATCTTTAAAAAAAAAAAAAGTGAGTGGTGGAGAGATACAGAGATCTGGCGCACTTTGCAGACCTCTGCAGCAGCCAGGGCTGAGCCAGGCTGAACCAGAAGCCTGAAACAACATCTGAGTTTCCCGTGTGGGAGGCAGGTGCTGCTTTCCCAGGAGCATTAGCAGGGAGCTGGATTAGAAGTGGAGCAGATAGGGCTTGAATTGGCATTCCAGTGTGGGATGAGGGACATACAAAACTGCTGTCCAGGTAACGCAGTATACTGTTTTACGTTACACCTCTTTTTCTTTAATAAGTAGAGGGAGCAAAGTCTAAAATAATGGTAAAAAGTATAGTGTAGTAACTAGCATAACCCAGTAAGGCCACCATTTGTCACTTCAGCCATATACTTCCCAAAACGATCACCAAGGGCAATGTGCTTCTCTGTAGCCCATCTTCAGCTTCCCCATGCCAACAGTAAAGCATGCTGAAGTCTCCCCCTTGGCTCATTTAGTAGTCCCTTGTGTTTCTGTATGTTTTATGTGCTCAGCAGGATGCTTTTCAAAATGAGCATCATATGGTGCCATTGCAGTGGCGTTGCATACTAAGCCTCAGCCTACAGTACCAGCTTCCCACATGAGCACTAGTTCAAATCCCAGCCTCTCCACTTTTGATCCAGCTCTTTGCTAATGACCTAGAAAAGCAGCAGAGTCTCCCCATGTTGGAGAGTAGGAAGAGGCTGCTAACTCCTGGCTTTGGACTGGCCCAATTTTGACTATTTCAAGCCATTTGGGGAATGTATCAATGGATGGAAGATCTCTCTGTGTCTTTCTTTCTCTGTGTGTAACTCTGCTGCCTGCCCAACAAAAATAAATAACTCTTTAAAGAAAAATTGCCATCATAGCTACTACTTGAGGCAAATAAGGTACATCATTTAATATAGCAGGAAATAGGCACTTGTCCTGATGTTGCGGAAATCCGTAGTAGAGCCAGAGCTATGCCCCACTTCTTTGTATCAGTGAGCTGTTTCTCTACTACCTGGTACTGTGTTATAATCACTGCACAGTTTTTTATTTATCTATTTGTCTTTCACAGGGTTAATTATTTAGAAAATAAAGAATTTGAACATCCCTGGAAAATTATCAAAAGATCATTATCATTTTTTCTGACAAGGAAGTTTGGAATCTATGAAGAAACACTAAAAGAAGTCTTTTGTGTGGGTTACAAATATAGATGTTTTCATGAAGAGGAGCGACAAGCCAGAAGGTTACAGGCAAATGAGGCCTAAGACCTTTCCTGCCAGTAACTACACTGGCAGCAGTCGGCAGATGTTGCAAGAAATTCGGGAATCTCTTAGGAACTTATCCAAGCCGTCCGATGCTGCTAAGGCTGAGCATAACATGAGCAAAATGCTGCCAGAAGATCCTCGACAAGTCAGAAATCCACCCAAATTCGGGACATATCACAAAGCCTTGCAGGAAATTCGAAACTCCCTACTACCATTTGCCAATGAAACCAGTTCTTCCTCCCGCAGTACCTGCAGTACCTCGGAAGTGAATCCCCAGATGTTTCAAGACTTGCAGGCTGCTGGATTTGATGAGGTAAGGATTTGGAAAGGCACAGGAATCTCACCTTATGCTGCATAACGCTTTGTATGTGCTCTCACATTGCAGTGTTTCTTTTGAAAGAATTTATGTATACATTACTGTATGTCAAAAAGAATGTTATGTTTACAAGTCCATTACTTTTTATAATAAAACAACTGTTATTTCTTTGGTTTCTTCTGTGATACCTAATCATGGAATTCTAGAGTTTCTAAAATTTAAAAGCCAGGTTTTGAAGTTACAGTGGAATGCAGTTAAGAAGGCCACAAGGGAGGGTAATGGAGAGACATCTGTGTGAAACGGGAGCCTGGGAAACTGAGCAGCCGATGAAGAAACAGAACTTCCAAGGAGATGGAGCTGGCAGTAAGGAGAAAGAATTAGAGTCGTGGAGTTGACCCGCAATTGACTTTGGTTCAAATGTGAAATTTACAAGAACTAATAAAATTTCACTTTAGGCTAACTGTACCTAGTCATCTTAGAATTTATCTTCAGAATTCATTTTGACATTTTTAAATAGCATAATTATTTACATAATGTTTTAGTTATTGATAAAATTCATTTTTAGGGCCAGTGCTGTGGCGTGACTGGTTAAGCTGCCATCTACAACACTGACATCCTGTATGGGCATTGATTGGGATCCCAGCTGCTGTACTTCTGACCCAGCTTCCTGCTTGCGTCCCTGGGAAAGCAGCAAAGAATGACCCAAGTATTTGGGCCCTTGTACCCTGTAGGAGACCATGGAAGCAGCTTCTTACTTGGCCTTGGCCCAGACCTGGCTGCTGTGGCTATTTGAGGGATGAATTACGGATGAAGATCTCTCATTCTTACTTTCTCCCTGCCTCTGTCTCTGTAACTCAGACTTTAAAATAAATAAATACATATTTAAAAATTTGTTTGCTGTAACATGCATGGAAGTATTTTAGGTGGCAGAAATCGTAAACAGGCCCGGTGCTGTGGCTTAGCTGCTAAAGTTCTTGCGTTGCACGCACCAGGATCCTACATGGGCACTGGTTCTAATCCCAGCAGCCCCACTTCCCTTCCAGTTCCTTGCCTGTGGCCTGGGAAGGCATTAGAGGATGTCCCAAAGCCTTGGGACCCTGCACCCATGTGGGAGACCCGGGAGAGCATCTGGGGTCCTGGCTTCAGATCGGCACAGCACCAGCTGTTGTGGTCACTTGGGGAGTGAATCATTGGATGGAAGATATTTTTCTGTCTCTCCTCCTCTCTGTGTATATATCTGACTATGGAATAAAAATAAATAAATGTTTAAAAAAAAAGAAATCATAAATAAAAATTGGCCATCCTGGGTACTGATGTGATTGGACTGGGGGGAGTGGTCCTCTCCCTTCTGTTTCCCCTTCCCCTAGATACAGGAAGAAAAGAAAAATTGGAAGCAATTGTCTCATCCACTTTCCTCCATTCCTCTACCCCACTTTGAGTAGTGGTCCAGGTGGGCATGCATCCTTCTCAATTATGTAAATGTCATCATAAAATAAATTTATTTTTTAAAAAATTGGTCATAGAGGAGGCTCGGATTATTCCACAGTAGGCTAAGCTACCGTCTACGGCATATCATCTTATGTGGGCAGCAGTTTGAAACCAGGTTGCTCTGTTCACAGTCATGCTGTCTGCTGATGTGCCTGGGAAAGAAGCAGAGGACAGCCCAAGGTCTTGTGCTGCTATGCTCACATGGGAGACCAAGAGGAAGCACATGGCTCTTAGCTTCGGCTTGGTCAGCCCCAGCTATTCTGGTTAGGGAGTCTACCAGCAGGTGAAAGATTTCTGTATCTCTATCAAGTGCATCTTTTTTTTTTTTAATTGGCCATGGAAAATGTAAATATGTTTGAATAATTAAAAGGATTTGTTTAGCTTTTTTTCTGATTATGAAACATTATCTCTTAAAATATAAAATTATGAAGGGACTGAAAATTACCTTTGGTTCTACTCTATAAGGGTAACTATGCTTAAAAGGGTAGCTTTGCTGTTGCTGATATTTCTAGATAGGATCTGCATAGTTTTGCATCACTTTACAATGGAGATCAGGTACAGTGACAGCATTAGGTGATTTTGTTGTAACCACATCACAGGATGTACTTACACAAACCTAGCTTGTGTAGCCTGTCACACACCTGTGCATGTGTGTGACCACCATATGGATGTCTGAGACCCAGCTGCTCCACATCCCATCCAGCTCCCTGTCAATGAGCCTGGCAAAGAAGCAGAGGATGGCCCAAGTGTTTGGACCCCTCACCCACAGGGGGAACCCTGATGAAGCTCCTGGCCCAGCTCCAGCCATTGCCAGCCGGTTGGAGAGCAAACTAACAGATGAAAGTCTCTCCCTCATCTGTCCCTCTCCCTATCTGTACCCATGGATTTCAAATACAGAAATCTTTATAATAAATAAGAGATCAGATATTTCAGTATTTATTTCTATATAAAAATAAATCTTTTAATGTTTTTTAAAGATTTATGTATTATTTTTATTGGAAAGGTGGATATACAGAGAGGAGGAGAGACAGAGAGGAAGATCTTCTGTCTGATGGTTCACTCCCCAAGTGACTGCAATGGCTGGAGCTGAGCCCATCCGAAGTCAGGAGCCAGGAGCTTCTTCCAGGTCTCCCATGCAGGTGCAGGATACCAAGGCTTTGTGCCATCTACGACTGCTTTCCCAGGCCACAAGCAGGGAGCTGGATGGGAAGCGGGGATGCCAGGATAAGAACCAGCACCCATAGGATCCTGGTGCGTGCAAGGCAAGCACTTTAATCATACAAATAAATCTTAAGGTCCCGGCACATTAGCCTAGTGGCTAAAGTCCTTGCCTTGCATGCGACAGCATCCTATATGGGTACCGGTTCTAGTTCCTGTGGCCATTGCTTCCCATCCTGCTCCCTGCTTGTGGCCTGGGAAATCAGTCAGGGACAGCCGAAAGCCTAGGGCCCCTTCACTCACATGGGAGACCCAGAGTAAATTCCAGGCTCTAGGCTCCGCAGATCCAGATGTTGCAGTCACTTGGGCAGTGAATCATCCGACAGAATATCTTCCTCTGTGTCTCTTCTCCTATCTGTATATCTGACTTCTCAATAAATATAAATCTTTAAAGAACAAAAAACAGAACATTTATAACTAAAGTGTACTTGTCATATAAGATTTTTATTTCAAAGTTACTGATTTGATTATTTTCTTTTTCATCTTGGCATCTCCACTTAATGAATGCTTTATTGATGTTGTTACAGGTGATGAAAGTTTTAAGCACAGAAATGAATATTAAAAAAGCTAAAATTAGCATAATATCCAAATCATGGGACTGAAGCTTCAGTACATTTAATAGAGTTCCCCACAATATTGAAAAACATAGTGGGTGCCAGTTCTCTGTGCCATCAGAGGTAGAACCACCATACGGGAGTATTATAAATGTAATTACAGTTCACTCAGCTTAAGCAGTTTTAAAATTAAGCATTCCCTGATGAGTTCTATATGCTTTGTGTTGTGAGTTGGCACATAATGTGAGGGTAGTTTCTTTGTATCTCATACTAGATTTGGGATCTGAATGACATGGTATGTATCACTTAGGGTTTGAGTCTGGTTGCTTGTAACAAAAAATCCTAATGTAATACTTTAAACAAATTAGTGACACCATATGTATAGCTATCATTGGCTTACCCCCTCAGAATGTTAGTGCCTAGGAGCCATGCATCTTTGCATTTTCCGACTTGGTGGCAGCATTGTTCTGACACATTATTACCTGTGAAACAGAATGCAAGAAAGACCACTGGCTGAATCAGACAGCAGAATTATTACAGAAACCCTTTCTTCTGTCAGCAGAGTAGCATTTCCCAGAATCCTGAATAGGTGATAGGTTTCTGCCACAACCATTCTTTGGTTGGTCTCACATTCATCTCCAGCCATTTGACATAGGACGATTGCCTGTCAGTTGTCAGTTCACCCCTTACTGAACATTTGAACATTTGAACATATCACTTGAAATATTCCATCCTCAAGAACAAACAGGTAGTTGCCTGTCTTTTGAAAATGCATGTCAATATACTTTTTACTTGTTTGGGTATAATTTATGTCACTGACAGGAAAAGGAGTGGAAAAGGACTACTAGCATTTGAGCTTATGTATTTATATGTTTTCTAATTACATCTTCATAACAACACTGAGTTTATTTTTTTTTTTAAGTTTTTTTTATTGGAAAGTCAGATGTACAAAAAGAGAAGAAGAGAGGAGGAAGATCTGTCCACTAATTCACTCCCCAAATGGTCGCAACTGCTGGAGCTGTGCCAATACGAAGCTGGGAGCCAAGAGCCTCCTCTGGGTCTCTCATGAGGGTTCAGGGTCCCAAGGCTTTGGGCCATCCTGACTGCTTTCCCAGGCCACAAGCAGGGAACTAGATGGGAAGCGGGGCCATTGGGATTAGAACTAGTACCCATATGGGATCCTGGCATATGCAAGGCAAGGACTTTAGCCCACTAGGCTACTGTGCCAGGTCCAACACTGTTAGTTTATTTCAGTTGAAGAAATGCTAATTCCCCAGAGTTGAGACAGTTGTAAAGGGAGCTGTTACAACTCAAACTCTGTTTTTCTTTTTTTTTTTAAAGATTGATTTTTATTAGAAAGTCAGATATACAGAGAGGATGAGATGCAGAAAGATATTCCTTCTGCTGGTTCACTCCCAAAGTGGCCACAGTGGTTGGAGCTGAGCCGATCCAAAGGCAGGAGTCAGGAGCTTCTTCCAGGTCATCCACTTTGGTGTGGGGTCTCCAACCTTTGGACTGTCCTCGACTGCTTTCCCAAGCCGCAAGCAAGGAACTGGATGATAAGTGAAGCAGCCAGGACATGAACCTGCGCCCATACGGGATCCTGGTGCATGCAATGCAAGGACTTTAACCACTGCGCTACCACACTGGGACCCCAAGTATATTTTTCTACGTTGTCTTACCTGAAGTCCTTATCACATATTTTCTTCTACCTTTTGTCCTGTTTCATGTCCTTGAAAATATAGTTCCCCGAAATGTACCAGGGTAAGAACCAGAACTGTGTGGTTCCTTTACCAGTACAGATATTGGCAGAGTGTTCGGTAAAATGCGTCCATTATAGCAGAAAGTTATTTTCAGTGTTTTGACTGATATCTTTTAAAACTGTGGTGGTTTTTCTGTTTATGTAACAAAACAATTATGAGAAATGATGAGAATTACATTTCCAAGACTGACTTCTAAAGTTAATCCTAAAAGGAAACGGTAATATTTTATGTAAAGGTGAAAACATTAAGGAAATATTTGGAAGATATGAGGGCCAGTTTTATTTAGTATATTGAATTTGTATGGCATTTTCTGGACATTAGCATTATTCTTTGAGGCCTTACTCATAATTGTGAATTTCTCTAATAGAATTCGTAGTGTTGTTTTCCTCTTATGAGATTTAAATTTTGTGTTTTGTCTTTAATCTTTGTTTAAGGATATGGTTATTCAAGCTCTTCAGAAAACTAATAACAGAAGTATAGAAGCAGCGATTGAATTCATTAGCAAGTTGAGTTACCAGGATCCTCGGCGGGAGCAGATGGCTGCAGCAGCTGCCAGACCTGTTAATGCTGGTTTGAAACCAGGTAATTCATCAAAAGCCTTTTCCTAGCCTCTGATTACATAGCTTTAAAATACTAACATGCAAAACATCGTTGGTCTTGAAAGTTGTTGCAAGTCTGAAGATAATAATGTTGCAGAATGAATTTTAAAGTAATGTTCTCACCTTTAAAACTTCGTAATTGTGATAAGCAACAGTCAAGATTGAGAGCTTTTGGGACTGGTGTTGTGTAGGACCTGGTTAAGCCATCGACTGCAGTCCCATATGGGCCCTGCCCAACCTGTCCCTGCACCCGGCCGATGCAGACATTGTGAGGGCTGCAGACTTGCCTGGCCTGCCCATGCCCAGACCTGATCTTATGCTCCCCAGCAGGAGTTGTGACCTGGTAAGAGAGTCCCCCAAGTGTCGCTAAGAGGCCTGCTCCCAGCCACTGAGATAGTGGCACTGTTTGGCATGTTCTGCCTTCTGTCCCAGCTCTTGTATATGCCTCCACTGCTGCACCCTGGCACTGCCTGGCCTTCTCCAGCCTCTGTTCCTCTGTGAGTGTCAGGTGGGTTCCTGATAGTGAGTTCCATGGTCCAGCCTGGCTTGGCCCATCATTGCTTCCAGCTCTCCATGTAACTTAGTGAGTGTTGTGGTCCCAGAGACGTGACTGCCCCCAGATCTGGTTCTCTCATATTCTAATGCGTGCTGTGGCCACTCTGACCTGGCTCACCCCTGTGTTCAATACTCATGAATCTGTGCTATGGCCTAGCCCTGCCAGGCACGGCCACCAGCCCCAGCTTTTGTGAGCACCAGTGGGTGGTAGGTAATGCCAGCCCAGGTCTCCTACATGAGCAGGTGACTTGGCCAGACATGCATTCTGTTTGCTCTCTCTAAACTACTCCATCTCCACTCTCTTATCTGCCTGTGAGAGCAGGTGCTGCTTCCATGGAAGACCTCAGAAGTCATTCCTGCCCTTTCAAACATGCCCTCAGCTGCTCCCACTCCAGTCTGTCCCTAGAACCCCTTTTTCAGGCAATCCGCCGCACCCCCACCTGGAGGCTGCCTTCCCCACTTATGTTTAAAAAGAGAGAAAAGAAAGAATAAGCAACTGTGCTGTAGTGTAGTCAACACAATTTGGCATTAACCAGGCCCAGAATGCCCACCAGCTGTTAGCTGCTTTTCTCCCAGCAGTGTAGCACTTGCCTAGGTACAAGGCAAGTGCTAGGAAGTAGTGCCTTCAGTCCGGTTCCTAACCCGCGCCTCTCCATGCCCTGGCTGTCTCTATGATTTCATGGAGTGCCACTCTTTCCCTCACGTATGGACTCCACTATTTGAGCTGTTGTGGGTTTTTTGTTTGTTTTGTTTTGATTGATTCTTGAAGGATGCTGAGCTCTCATCTCAGAACCTTATTTATTTGAAAGGTAGTATATGAGAGAGAGGGATAAATCTTCCATCTGCTGGTTAACCTCCAAACTGGCAGTAACGGTTAGACTGGGTCAGGCCAGAGTCAGAAACCAGGAACTTCATCCAGGTTTCCGTGTAGGTGCTAGGGGCCCAGGTGCTTAAGCCATCTTCTGCTGCTTTCCCATGTGCACTAGTAGAGAACTGAACCAGAAGTACAGCAGCCAGGACTTGAACCAGCACCCATATGAGAGCCAACATTCTAGGTGGCAGCTCAAAGTACTGCACCACAATCCCAGTCCATACCTTGCTTATATAGTCACTTGTGTGTCTCTTCCCCAAGAATATAGCTTCAACAGGGCTGACATCTCGTTCAGCAGTTAACTTCGATTACTGAGGAAAAGGACTGACCCAGAGTAGATGTTCAGCAAATATCTAAAAAACTAAAGAAGAAGAGAAAAAGAGTACAGCAGGAACAAGTGACATACCACAGGCTGAATTAAATAAAATATTCCCCCAAAAAGAACTTTGTTGAAGAACTTTGTGGCTGGAGTAAACAAAAGTCATAACCTCAGAAGAATATCAACCTTAAATTTGTGAAAGGAGGGCACATAGCTGATGGTACTTTCTTTTTTAAGTTTTTAAAATCTGACTTATTGAAGTTAAAAACTTGGACCCTGTGTGATAGCCTAGTGGCTGAGGTCCTCACCTTGCATACACCAGGATACCATATGGATGCTGGTTCTAATCCCAGCAGCCCTGCTTCCCATCCAACTCCCTGCTTGTCGCCTGGGAAAGCAGTCAAAAACGGCCCAAAGCCTCGGGGCCATGCACCCATGTCGGAGACCCAGAAAAAGCTCCTGGCTCCTGGCTTTAGATCAGCTCAGCCCTGGCCACTACAGCTGCTTGGGGAGTGAACCGGCATATGGAAAATCTTTATGTCTCTCTTTCTCTCTGTAAATCTACCTTTTCAATAAAAATAAACAAATCCTTTTTAAATGAAAAAAAGCAGGCAGAAAGAAGCAGACTCCACATTTATGTATCTCAGGTAACTTACTGATGATACGGTTAACCTGCAGGGAAGGAAACTGAGGGATTAATGACAGAAATGTCTTATCATTTTGTGCCTTGTGAATTTTGAGGCATGAAAATTTATTATCTAGGCAGAAACAGAATTCTAAAAGATGAATAACTTATGGAAGTTTTAATAATTTTTTCATTAAATAAGCAAATTATGTATTACTTAACTTTTTTTGTTATGAGAACAGTTAAAATCTCTCTAAGCAGTTATCAAGAATACAAAAAGCAAACTAGGATCACCGTGTTGTACAACATATCTCTTGAACTTACATTTTTAATTCTTGCAAGAGAATTGAATATCATTTAGTAATATCAAAACTCCGATCTGAAGTCTTCTGAAGTAAAAGGTTAAAGCTATGCTTTCCTTCTCTCTCTGTTACGACCACAGGGAGTGTGCAACAGCCAGTTAACCGCAAGCAGAGCTGGAAAGGCTCCAAAGAGTCCTTAGTTCCTCAGAGACACGGCCCACCACTAGGAGAAGGTGTGACCTACCGTTCCGAAAGTCCCAGCTCACAGACGGATGTGGGAAGGCCTTTGTCTGGCTCTGGCTTACCAGCATTTGCTCCAACTCACCCTAGCAATGGACAGAGAGTGAACCCCCCGCCACCCCCTCAAGTAAGGAGTGTCACTCCTCCACCACCTCCAAGAGGTACAACCCCGCCACCCCCGTCATGGGAACCAAACTCTCAAACCAAGCGTTACTCTGGGAACATGGAATTTGTAATCTCTCGCATCTCTCCTGTTCCGCCTGGGGCCTGGCAGGAGGGCTATCCTCCACCACCTCTTAACACGTCCTCCATGAGTCCTCCTGGTCAGGGGCAGAGAGCAGTGAGTTCTGTTCCTGTGGGCAGACAGCCAATCATCATGCAGAGCTCTAACAAATTCAGCTTCCCCCAGGGGAGGCCTGGAATTCAGAATGGTAGTGGTCAGACTGATTTCATGATTCACCAAAATGTCGCTCCTGGTGCTGTGACTCGGCAGCCACCCCCTCCGTATCCTCTGACCCCAACAAATGGACAAAACCCTTCTGCTTTACAAACAGGGGGGTCTGCTGCTCCTTCATCATATACAAATGGAAATATTCCTCAGTCTATGATGGTGCCAAATAGGAATAGTCATAACATGGAACTTTACAATATTAATGTACCTGGACTGCAAACAACCTGGCCTCAGTCATCTTCTGCACCGACCCAGTCATCCCCAAGCAGCGGGCATGAAATCCCTACCTGGCAACCTAACATACCTGTGAGGTCAAATTCTTTTAATAACCCACTAGGAAACAGAGCAGCTCACTCTGCTAACTCTCAGCCATCAGCTACAACAGTCACTGCAATTACACCAGCTCCTATTCAGCAGCCCGTGAAAAGCATGCGTGTATTGAAGCCGGAACTACAGACTGCTTTAGCGCCTACCCACCCTTCTTGGATACCACAACCAATTCAGACTACTCAAACCAGTCCTTTTGCTGAAGGTACCACTTCAGGTATGACAGTTATGGCACCTGTTGCTGAAGCTCCAAGCTATCAAGGTCCACCACCACCTTACCCGAAACATCTGCTGCACCAGAGCCCGTCTGTTCCCCCGTATGAACCAAGCAACAAGTGCAGCAAGGAGGATCAGCCTGTCGTGCCCAAGGAAGATGAAGGCGAAAAAAGTTATGAAAGTGTTGATAATGGGGATAAAGAAAAGAAGCAGATTACAACTTCACCTATCACCGTTAGGAAAAACAAGAAAGATGAAGAGCGAAGGGAATCTCGGATTCAAAGTTACTCTCCCCAGGCCTTCAAATTCTTTATGGAACAACATGTAGAAAATGTGCTCAAATCTCATCAGCAACGTCTACATCGTAAAAAGCAGTTAGAGAATGAAATGATGCGGGTAAAACCTTTTAAAATGCTATTTTTTACACCTGATCATCTGCATTCTTTTGTTGTACCCTAGGATTTTCTTTTAAAACAGTGATGAAAAATATATTATCAATTATTTGGAAATGAATAAACTGGGACAGGTGTTTGGCTTACTGAGTTGGATCCTTGTGAGGATGCCCATGTCCCAAAGGAGTGCCCAGATGTGACCTTGGCTCTGGCTTCTGATTCCAGCTTCCCGCTAATGTTGGCACTAGGAGGCAGTGGTGATGGTTCTGGCAGTTGGTTTCCCACCAGCCATTTAGGAAGCCTGGGTGGTAGATTGAAGTCCAGCTTCATCCCGCCCTTCCTGCCCTTGACATGCATTTGAAGAGTAAACCAGCAGATGTGGCTGTTCTCGCTCTTAAATAAAACATAATTTTTTAAAAATGAACCTTAAAGTAATTTTGATTCTAGGTTTATTTTAACTTACTTTCCTGTGATAAAAGTTCCTGTGTAAATTAAGAAAAATGTAAGAGATTTACATTTTAATCCCTTTGTAGGGGAATTCAAACAAGAGTTGTGTGTGTTTGTTTTTTAAGAGAGAGATGACAGAGCTCCTCTCTGCTGGGTTCACTGCCCACATGTCTGCAACAGCTGGGCTGTGCCATTGCTGAAGCTGGAAGTCAAGGCCTCATCCCATTCTCCCACATGGATGGGGAAGCCAGTTCCTTGAGTCAACAGTGATGACTCTCCTCCAAGGTGCACACCGGCATGGTGATAGACAGAGCTGGGAATAACCCCTTACCCTCCAGGGTGGAACCCAGGCGTCTAACTGCTGTCTCAGCCACTAGGCTAAATGCCTGCACCCTGATCATCTCTTGATACCCTTATGAAACATGCCTTGTACTTCTGAGTTTTTGAGTTTGCAGGTTTATCACGTAAACCTCACTAGAAAGTGTCAGAAGCAATTCCCTTCAGTTATTTCTTACAATTTCATTTTTTTTCAATGAAGTAGAGAAAATGTGCTAAGATTATTAAGTCAGAGGATACCTAGAGGAAATTGGACTCTATGAGCATTCACATAAACCTGTGTTGTATGACTCCAGTGGATCTCTTCCCTGGATTATCATTACATTATTGTTTTTGTGATATGCTCAGAGTTGAAAGATTTGATTGCTGATCTCACATCTGTCACTCAAAAATCCCAGAAGCTTAAATTTGTGATGAAACTTCTTCGGATATTTGAGAGAGCTATTGTTTTAAAATTATTTTCCAAATTGATTTTACAATGCAGTACTGCTGTTTCTGCTATAAATTGAATTTTGTTTGAGATGCATCACAATAATCTCAATGACTTTTTCATATTTTAGCTCTTAGAATTTCTTACTAAAGTCTTTCTGTATGTATTTTCTTAGTTTATTTTTCCTTTTTCCTCTTCACTTTCACTAATAGCTGATTTAAACTTTTATGGTGTTGGAAGCTTTGCTGACTTCTGTAGCCTCCATTACTGTGTAGACAAGTAAGATTTTAAGAGCAACAGTTCTATACTAAGCCTGGCATGTCATCCTTCTGAGAAGATTTTGCATGCAAGTGCGCATCCTAACAAAAGCATGAGGTTACCATTTTTTAATTAGTCTTGCATTTTAAGATTTAGACCTGACTCTTGGAATTGAACTCCTTTTGTATTTAAACTCTTGAATTAGTTCTTAGTCTGCCAAAAGAAACTTCCTCAGTTCTAAATCCAGGTATCCTGTATCTGTTTTGAAGATGACTTTTGTTTTGATAGCTTCATAAGTCAAACTGTCTTTGAAATATTCCAAATAATAAGGGCAAATGCTGAAGCAGAGCAGGTAGATCTGCCTGCGTTAACAACAAGCCACGTGGGTGCCAGCTTGAGTCCCAGCTGCTCCACTTCCATCCAGCTACCTTGGCAAGCAGGAGAGGATGGCGCAAGTGGTTGGGTCCTTGCTGCCACATTGGTAACCCAGATGAATCTCCTGGCTTTGGACCAGTGCACATCCGGCCATTGTGGCTATTGGGGAGTAAACTGGTGGATGAAAGATCATTGTCTTAACTTCTCTTTGTAGCTGCCTTTCAAATAAGTAAATAAGTATATCTTTAAAGAAAAAATGCTGAACGATGTCCTGTAAGCACATAGCTTGTCCCTCTTAGATGAGGTAACAGGGACTCTACTTTTTGCCTATGTCATGGACTGAGTCCCATCTCCTTCTGAGGGACCTTGAAGACTAAATGACTATCGTGTGTTTTCTGAAAGTGGGAAGAGGCTGGTAGACTAGAGAAAACATTCTTTTGTTAATATTTGTTTTGTTTTGTTTTGCTTTTTGTTTTGTTTTAAGAAAAATGATCCCGGAATAGAAGATTTTCTTTCTCCTTTTTTTTTCTTTTTTTTTTTTTTTTGGTGAAGGCAAGACCGTTTGAGGGCCAGGTATTCTGTGAAAAATAGCATTTGATGAAGGCAAGTTAATCCTGTAACTTGGGATGAGTGCATGGAGAGAGATGGGAATGCATGTTAACAGATGATTGTATTTTCTTAGTGTATTAGACAAGATTAGAAAGCTAACTGTTGGTATCCTTTTCTGAATTTCCACAGCTGAATTTGCATATGCATACTCACTCACTTTTTATATCTTTGTTAACTGTCTCATAAATTGCACTTTTCATCATTAATTTTCTCTGAAATATATTACAAATTTCTAACATGCTTTGTTAAAAATTATTAGGCATTTAACCTTTAAATATATGCTTGAGTTTTTTTCTGAGCTACTTATTGTTAAATACTGAAGAAGAAATTTCCTCATTTAACATCCGATTTATTTGCCTAGGTTGGATTATCTCAAGATGCCCAGGACCAAATGAGAAAAATGCTTTGCCAGAAAGAATCTAATTACATCCGACTTAAAAGGGCTAAAATGGACAAGTCTATGTTTGTGAAGATTAAGACACTAGGAATAGGAGCATTTGGTGAAGTCTGTCTAGCAAGAAAAGTAGATACTAAGGCTTTGTATGCAACAAAAACTCTTCGAAAGAAAGATGTTCTGCTTCGAAATCAAGTGGCTCATGTTAAAGCTGAGAGAGATATTCTGGCCGAAGCTGACAATGAGTGGGTCGTTCGTTTATATTATTCATTCCAAGATAAGGACAATTTATATTTTGTAATGGACTATATTCCTGGGGGTGACATGATGAGCCTATTAATTAGGATGGGCATCTTTCCAGAAAATCTGGCACGATTCTATATAGCAGAACTTACTTGTGCAGTTGAAAGCGTTCATAAAATGGGTTTTATTCATAGAGATATTAAACCTGATAACATTTTGATTGATCGTGATGGTCATATTAAATTGACTGACTTCGGCCTCTGCACTGGCTTCAGATGGACACATGACTCTAAGTACTATCAGAGTGGTGAGTAAATTGAGAAAACATCATTTTTTCCATAATACTGGAGTGAAATTATTGGGGTGAATGTTCAGCATAGGGTTAATCAGAGTTGGGATGCATGCATCCCTCTAGAGGGTCTGGGTTCACGCCCCAGCTGTGTTCCCAATTTCAGCTGCCACCTGATGTGTACCCTGGGAGGCAGCTGGTGATGGCTCAAGTTGTTAGGTCACTGTAACTGTCATGAGAGGGACTGCATGGTCCAGCCTGCCGTAACACATCTGGAGAATGAGCCAGCACACAGGAGCTCTGTCTGTATTTGACTCTCAAAAATAAATTTCAAAAAAATTAGGATTTATTTTTATTGGAAAGGCAGATTTATAGAGAGAAAGAGACTCAGAAAATCTTTCTGCTGATTCCCTCCCCAAGTGGCTACAACAGCTGGAGCTGACCCAGTCCAAAGCCATGAGCTTCTTCCGGGTCTCCCACACAGGTGCAGAGGCACCAAGGCTTTGGGCTGTCCTCCACTGTTTTCCCAGGCCACAAGCAGGGAGCTGGATGGGAAGTGGAGCATCCGGGATGGGAACCAGTGCCCATATGGAATGTGCACTTAAGAGATGGAGGATTAAGCAGCTAAGCTATTGTGCCAGCCCCAAATTTTAAAAATCTGAATGTGACTAACTTATACAATAAATCAAGCAAGCAAGCAAGCAAGCTGTAACTGAATGGGAACCAGAACACTTGGGTCTAATCTTGCCTTTGTTGGGTGAACATTCTTAGGAACTTAGACATATGTGTGTGTTTGTGTGTATCATATAGACGTGTATTATAAAATGAAAGAATATTAGATTTGATGATGTCTAACTGTTCCTGACATTTCTGAGTTACTTTATAATTCAGTTTTAAATATGGCCATTAACGTTTTAAAGATAATTTCTAAATTAGGCTCCATAGGGACCTTTCAGCTTGAGAAGTGATCAGTCATTCCCTCCAAAGATCAGGGTTACTGAGGGAACCTCACAATCTGTGCTCGTTGACTGCATGTGTGCTCTCTCCTGAAACGGTGCATTTTAGTTTGCATACTTAAGTGTAATCACTCTGTACGTATTCTGCTGTTGATGTCTTGTAAATGTGAAGTTCCTCCCTGTTAACAGATGTGACATTCATTTTCACTGTTATTTAAAATTCCATTGTGTGATTATGACACAGCTTAGTTAATCCTAAACAGTTTATTTACAGAATTTCATTTAATCCTCATAGCAACTTTGTGGGGCAGGATAAAATAACTGAAATGTGGTTGGATGAAGTACTTTGCCCAAAGGCAGGCAAAAATGAAGCCTTGCAAGGGGGATGCTTTAAACCGCAATTGTCTGATACAGGGCCCATGTTGTTTCTGCAGGGTCAGGTTGTCTCACCAAGATCTCTCCAAGTTTGGAACTCCATCCAGGCTTCCCCGTAGGTGGAAGAATCCCAAGTACCATCTTCTGCTTTCCTAGGCCCATTAGCAGGGAGCTCACATGGCCTGCCTCCAGCCCCAGCACTTACCATTGGGTGCTGCAGGATAGCGCAACCCGTCCCCAGCCTGAGTCCTTGTGCTCATGGATGGGAGCTTTGCCCTGACCCAGGCAGGCCCTCTGGATTTCCCATTCTGAGCCAACCTGGTCTCGGTTCCCACTGCCGGTACAGTGGCCTGGTCCACAGAAGCCTCCCCTACCCCCCGCCCAACTAGTTTATACACTTCAAACAAGCCCTCAGTGGTCTCCATTCCAACTCAACCCCATTCCCCTGGCCCCTAGAAATGCATGCTCTCCCACCACCATGTGCTTGGTGGCAGCGATAATGTTGGGGTGGCCCCAGCCAGCATAAACCTGTGGTAGCACAGTGAACATGCCACCCCCATTCCACCAGATCTTTTTTTTTTTAAAGATTTATTTTTATTATTTTTTTTATTGGAAAGGCGGATATACAGAGAGGAGAGACAGAGAGGAAGATCTTCCTTCCGATGATTCACTCCCCAAGTGAGCCGTAACGGCCAATGCTATGCCAGTCCGAAGCCAGGAGCCTCTTCCGGGTCTCCCACGCGGGTGCAGGGTCCCAAAGCCTTGGGCCATCCTCGACTACTTTCCCAGGCCACAGGCGGGGAGCTGGATGGGAAGCGGGGCTGCCGGGATTAGAACCGGTGCCCATATGGGATCCCGGGCGTTCAAGGCGAGGACCTTTAACCACTTGGGCCACCGTGCCGGGCCCCAGATCTTTAAAAAAAAAAATAGAATAGGCATCTGTGCTGATTAACTGATGCAGTTAGCACAGATTTGGTATTAACCAGGCACAGAATGCCAGCCAGCTGTTGGCTGCCTTTTTTCCAGCAGTATAACACCTGCCTATGTACAGGGCAACATACGCAGTTGCCTATTGCTGCAGGAAGATGAAACTTGTAAATGACATTGCCAGTTAAAAGTCCTTACTTAGTGCCTGTATTGTGGTGCGGCACATTAAACTGCCACCTCCAGTCCTGGCATCCCATATGGGTGTCGATTCCAGTCCCAGCTGTTGCACTTCATTGCAGCTCCCTGCTGATGTGCCTGGAGAGGCATATAACTATCCCTGGCCCAGCTTCAGCCATTTGTATCTATTGGGAGTGAACAAGCAGATGGAAGATTGCTATCTCTCCTCTTTCTTTCTGTAACTGCCTTTCAAATAAATGTCTTAAAAAACTTAAAAAAATTTTTTTTTATTGGAAAGGCAGATATACAAAGAGGAGAGACAGAAAGATCTTCTATCTGTTGGTTCACTCCCCATGTAGCCACAGTAGTGGGCCAGAGCTAAGCTGAGCTAATCCAAAGCCAGGAGTCAGATACCTCTTCTGGGTCTTCTACATGGGTACAGGATCCCAAGGCCTTGGGCCGTCCTCGACTGCTTTCCCAGGCCATAAGCAGGGAGCTGAAAGGAAAGTGGAGCGGCTGGGACACGAACCGGCATACATATGGGATCCTGGTGGCGCATGGAAGGTGGGGATTTAGGCTACCACGCCAGGCCCACTAACTACTTTCTGTGTTCCTCTTTATTAGCTGCACTGGATTCCTCTCTGTGACTGTTCCCTGTGGAACACCTTTGCCCTGATTTTCAGATGGTTGAATGCCTCCTGTTTTTTATATCTTGGCAATAGAATTTCTTAGTCAGCTACCACCTGATCTATAAGACAGCTGTCCTGTCACATTTGTCATATAATCTTGCATTAATTCTCAGTGAAAAGTACATCATTATGTTTCTTCCTTGCCTGAAACAGTGTCATCTTCTCTTATTGTCATTGGTTGAATGAATTTGTTGAAAGTTTATCCAAAGTAGTCAGAGGGAGCAGCCAGATTAACATCCTTCTCATCATACCTACATATGATTTAGTGTTATTATTATTTAATATTAAGTAAATTGCTGAGTCTTAGGATGATTGTTGTTCTCGTAAAGCCTTTCCTGTTACCATCTCAGAAAGCCGACCCTTGTTGGTAATAAGCACCCTCAGTGATCAGGCATGGGTGATGTGTAAGTGTTCTTAATTTGTTGTTAACTCTAATCCATGATATCAAAAGCTTAAATGAACTTAAGGTTTATTGTTGCTTTTACCTAATCATTTACTTTACTGTACAGGTGACCACCCACGGCAAGATAGCATGGATTTCAGTAATGAGTGGGGTGACCCCTCAAACTGTCGATGTGGAGATAGACTAAAGCCACTGGAGCGGAGAGCTGCACGCCAACACCAGCGATGTCTGGCACACTCTTTGGTTGGGACTCCCAATTATATCGCACCTGAAGTATTGTTACGAACAGGTAAAGCTCTTAGTCCTTTAGTAAAAATCTCCAAAGTCCTTAGGCCAGCTAAAACTTACCCTAGCATATATCTTAACTTTCGAGTTTATAATAAAATTATTAACTTTTTATAGCATGAACTAGTGATTTAGTGTTAACTTGATTACATTAGTTCTGAGCAGGTTTGGGAGGGGTGCTATGCTTGTGGATAACTAACTTTGGTATTTTGTTTTAGGATATACACAGTTATGTGATTGGTGGAGCGTTGGGGTTATTCTTTTTGAAATGTTGGTGGGACAACCTCCTTTCCTGGCGCAAACACCATTAGAAACACAAATGAAGGTAATGTATCATCTGCATTGAAATAATTGCCCAATCTCTGCCATAGACCTTTATTGCAAAAACAGACTGAGTATCCCTTATCTGGAAGGCTTGGGCTAGAAGTGGTTTTGGATCTTGAATGTATTTCAGATTTTGGAATATGTATATACTGTATATAATGAAATATCTTGGAGTTAGGACCCAACTCTAAAAATTAATTTCTGTTTAATATGTACCTTATATATATAGCCTAAAGGTAAATTGTTATACTTTATTACATTTTGTTTTTAATGTTCCTGCATTTTGACTCCACCTGTCTTACTGCATTAGTCGTGAAATTTTCTTTTGTTTTTTTGAGACAATTTTGTTTTCACTTTTCTTTTCTTCCTTTGTCTTGGGGAAGGGGAGAAGCCACAACCAACATCCTAACCGGGGGTGGGGGACGGCCACCCAGTGTCAACCCAGGGTTCCCAATGTGGAACATGCTCCAAACATACTGCTCAAGTGGTTTTGATAGTTCTGAAATGTTGATTTCATTGATGTAAGGATTAGGAACTCCTTCCAAGGTCCATTGGATGACATAGTCCACCTTACAATCCTTATTCACCAAGATACATGCTGTCAACATTTGGCTGGGAGAGTCACCCAATTTGTTCTGCCCTCATCCTCTGCTATGGTACTAGGTGTACTCTGAAGGTTCCAATAGACTGCCATATCCCCCCATGTGCTTCTGGGCATGCCATTCATTGCACTGTCTTCAACAACTGAGGAGGCCCAGTTCTGACACATTCACTCCATGGTCAGACCACAGATCATGAGATTCTCAACCATGGTTGGATTTCTGAGTCCAGCAGTTCATTGGGATCTTCAAAGAAACCCAGACCTGACTCCTTTGTGTGTCATCTAGTGCAGGGTCCGGCTCAGTCTATCACCCACACTACCCTATACACACTGGTAATTGCAGTTGCTGGGTCAGTGCTGTCTCCAACCTCATCTCTTACACAAGCCAACAGATGCTGCAACCAAGCCCAACCTTGTCCACCACTTGACCCTCATGTACACCAGTGGTAACTGCTGTCCAGTCAGGGCAACTTCCAATAACCCCTACCAGGCCTGCCCCAAGCCCTGTTTCCTGCAACAGACTAGTCTGTCCCACATCCTATTCAGCTTATGTACACAAACAATATGTGCTGTAGCCTAGCTCAGCCCAACTGACACCATTATCCAGCCTACACTTAATGCTGGCAGGTGCTACCGCCTGTCCAACAAGGTTCACCCAATCTCTGGTTCTCATACTAACCAGAGGGAACTATAGCCCATCAGAGAGGTGTCACAGTTTTCCCTACTAGGCCCACTCTCAGCCCTGGATTTTGCACTATCCAGGTGGTTCTGCAGCCTAGTTTGACTAGACTTACCCTCACTCCCAGCACTTGTAGCAACCAGCCTGTACTTACTCTGGCTCATGCATGTACCAGTGGATATAATTGATTAGCCCACCTTAACTCTTACTCTAACCTAGCTCATGTGCAGGCCTGTGGGTATTATAGCCCTGCCTAGCCTGTTTTGTCTCTGGTCCCCATCCTCACGTTTACCAGCGGGAGCAATTGTCCTATTCCTGGGTGTGCCTACAGGTGCTATAGTCTGGACCAGCCTGGCCTGTTCCCAACCCCAATACTCTTGAGTGTCGGTGGCGGGGGGGTTCCATGGTCATGCCTGGCTTTGCCTGTCACTCACCCCCAGCTTTTGAGCAAACCAGCAGATGTTGCTGACCCACAGGGATGAACCCACATATCCCCCACAAAATCTGCCCCCAAAACTGGTTCTTTTGTGTGCTGGTTAGTGTTATGACTCAGCCTCATGTGACCCATCCCCTATTTTGACACTCTGTGGGAGGTACTGTGGTCGAGCTCTTACAGGTAGGCTCCCAGCCCTAACTTTAGTGTGCACCAGTGGGTAGTGGTCACCCAGTGCTAACTAGCCCAGCTCAGATCTCCCATGTGGACAGATGCATCAGTCTGACCCAGAAAGGTCCTCCAGGTTCGCTACTGCAAATCCTTCCGCCTCAGGCCCTTCTTTGCCTGAAAGTGCAGTGACCTTGTCAGCAGAAGTTATTCCTCACCTGCAATGTACTCTCACAGCAGTCCCTGCTCCTACTTATCCCATACCCTTTTGCATGATGAATCCATAGCCCCTGTACCTGTGAGGGCATGGGTTCCCCAGCCTAGTCTTCTGGTGGAGCAACATGCTAGCCTGGAGTCCAGCCTGCCACCCAGGACCCCAGGACTAGTCCTCCAGCACACCTGCCAGCCTAGGTCCCCACCCCTCTGCCCAGCCAGGATGAAGCATGTTAATGAGTCCACGAGCGAGCCCAGTCCACAAGCACACCATGCCAGCATGCCAATCTGGCGCCCTAACCCTACCTACGTGGGACTTAAACACACGGGAGTTGCTATACTTCCAATCCAGTTTCCTGCTTGTGGTCTGGGAAAGCAGTGGAGGATGGCCCCCAAGTCCTTCTGTCCCTGCACCCTTGTGGGAGAACAAGAAGAAGCTTCAGACTTCCAGCTTTGGACTGGTCCAGCTGTGGGCCATGGTGGTCATTTGGGGAGTGAGCCAGTGAATAGAAGAGCTCCATCACCTTCTCGGTCTGTAATTCTGGTGTTCAAATAAAAAATAAACAACAATGAGAAGGAAATTCTCGTTTAAAAAACTCATCCAACAAAGGAACAATTTTTTTCTTTAAACTGTCAGCTTAATTTAAGGAGCTTACAAGACTAGTCATTTATTTATTAAAATGTATTTTTATTTGTTTGAAAGTCAGTTACAGAGAGGGAGAGTTCAAGAGAGAGAGATCTCTTCCATCTGCTTGTGCACTCCCCAGAAGGTCACAGTGGCTGAAGCTGTGCCAAAGCCAGGAATCCAAAGGTTCTTCCGAATCTCCCACATGAGTGCAGGGGCCCAAGCATTTGGGCCATCTTCTGCCTTTCCGATCACAATCTTTTTTTTAAGATTTATTTTTACTGAAAGTCATATATACAGAGAAGAGGCAAGATAGAGAGGAAGATCTTCCATCCAGTGATTCACTCCCCAAGTGGCTGCAAAAGCTGGAGCTGCGTCAATCTGAAATGAGGAGCCTGAAGCCTCTTCTGGGTCTCCCACACAGATGCAGGGTTGCATGGCTTTGGGCCGTCCTTGACTGCTTTCCCAGGCAACAAGTAGGGAGCTGAATAGGAAGCAGGGCTGCCAGGATTAGAATCGGCACCCATATGGACACATTAGCAGGAAACTGGATTGGAATTGGTGTAATTGGGCTTCTAACCAGTGTCCGTGTGGGATGCTGGTGTTGCAGGCACTAGTCTAAGCTGTAGCCATTGTGGCAATTTGGCAAGATCTTTTTCTCTGTCTCTCCTTCTCTCTGCAAATCTTTCTAATAAACATTAAAAAAAAGAAAAGGTAGTTAGGACGCCTACAGCTTAGGGCAGGCATTGTGGCATAACAGTCGAGCCGTTGCTGGGAATAGCTACTTTCCATATTGGAGTGCCTGGGTTTGAGTCCTGCCTTTCTTCTCATCCAGCTCATGCCTACCCTGTCAGATAGTGGACTCAAGTAGTTGAATTGCTGCCACCTCCTTGGGAAACTGAGTTAAGATCCCACCTCCGAGCATCAGCCTTGGGCTACATCAGCACAGACGTTTGGAGATGGGAGCATGCGTGCTTGTTCCTTCATTCCCCTCCTTTGTCTTTTTGCCTCTCAAATAAATAAACTTCTTCAAGGAAGTATTTCAGATCAGGAATTTTTTTTAAGATTTATTTATTTTCACTGGAGAGGCAGATTTACAAAGAGAGAGAGAGAGAGACAGATCTTCCAGCCACTGGTCACTCTCTTAGTGGCCGCAATGGCTAGAGCTTAGCTAATCTAAAGCTAGGAGCTTCATGTGGGTACAGGTGCCCAAGGACTTGAGCCAATCTCTGCTGTCTTCCCAGGCCATAAGCAGGAAGCTGGTTCAGAACTGGAGCAGCCAGAACACAAACCATTTCCCATATGGAATACTGGTACCACAGGTGGAGATTATTACACTGTGATGCCAGTTTTATACCACTTCTAGTACCTCCAAGAGTTTAGGGAGAGAGACTGTAGTCTGGCTTCACTTGGCTTTCTTTTCTTCCTTTTTCGTTCCATTTTATCAAAAACCACAGCAAGGTATTGTGTTGTAGCATAAGTGGGTAAAACCACCACTTGTGACATCAGCATTCCATATGGGTGCCATGTGTCCTGATTGTTCTGTTTCCAAATCCAACCACCTTCTTCCCCCCGCTCTCTCTTCTTTGCTAACTATAACACTGACTTTTGGGATCTTAGCAAACAAAGATTTATTGAGCATTTATTATGTACTAGGCAATTTACCAAGCTCTGGGAATATAAAAATAACTTAATTCACAGTCTTTAGCCATAGAAAGTTTTATACTGTAGTTGGATATACATATAAATAGGTGCTGAAAGGTCTGAAAATATGATAGAAATAATCGTATGATACAGAGGGGGCAAAGTAGAGGTAGTGGGAGGAGTCCTTTCTACCAATGGTAGAAGAGCTTATCAGGAAAGAACAGAACTTACAATGTTCTGTGAAGTGTGTATATAAGTTGCATGGAGAGGTAAGGCAAGCTGTATCCTGCAGTTACTGCTAAAGGCACGGAGGTGAAGCGCCATGGACTTCAGCAAAGCAGCACAAGTAGTCCAGTAAGACTCTTGATTCACCACTTGTTTTGCTGCTTTATTTTTTCCTTCCTAATTATTGAAAATCCTCTTTAAAGGTTATCAACTGGCAAACATCTCTTCACATTCCACCACAAGCTAAACTGAGTCCTGAAGCCTCTGATCTCATTATTAAGCTTTGCCGAGGACCAGAAGATCGCTTGGGCAAGAACGGTGCTGATGAAATAAAAGCTCATCCATTTTTTAAGACAATTGATTTCTCCAGTGACTTGAGACAGCAATCTGCTTCATACATTCCTAAAATCACACACCCAACGGATACATCCAATTTTGACCCTGTTGACCCTGACAAGCTATGGAGTGATGATAATGAGGAAGAAAATGTTGGTGACACTCTGAATGGCTGGTATAAGAATGGAAAACACCCTGAACACGCCTTCTATGAATTCACCTTTCGGAGGTTTTTTGATGACAATGGCTACCCATACAATTATCCAAAGCCTATTGAATATGAATACATGAATTCACAAAGCTCAGAGCAGCAGACGGATGAAGATGAGCAACACACAGGCTCAGAAATCCAAAATCGGGATCTGGTGTATGTTTAGCACACGAGGAGTGAATTGAAATGAGTATTGGCAAAAAGACCTGAAATGCAGGAATTTTTTAGGTTCTCAGTAAAATTATGCAAATGTGGCAGAGCTTTCTATGTATGGTGCTCTGTACAATATTTTATTTTCCTAAATTATGGAAAATCCTTTTAAAATGTTAATTTATTCCAGCCTTTAATCATTAATTTAGAAAAAATTGTTATAAGAAAGTAAATTATGAACTGAAATTATAGTCAGTTCTTGGTACTTAAAGTACTTAAAATAAAAAAAAATAGTGCTTTGTTTAAAAGGAAAAGCCTGGTATCTATTTGTATATATGCTAAATAATTTTAAAGATAAGAGTTTTTGAATTTTTCTTGAAAGACAGTTTTATCTTGCTTTAACCAAATATGAAATATACTCTATACTTACAGAGCTCTTCTTCTTTTTTTTTTCCACCATTACCTTCTTTTTGGTATAAAATAAGCTAGAGAAATTAAGCCATCGTTTTGGTATATGTTCCCAGACTAATGATAATCTGTGTAATTTACATCCTGAACAGAGAGACAGGGTTGGAACAACAGTGAGGTATCCAACAGAAGAGAAACTGACAACCGCTCTTCCCCGACTCTTGCCCCTCTGTGGCGTGTTTAACCTCGGCGTTGACTTCATCCTCATTGGCTTTACAAGAAGTCAAAGCACTGCTCGTTTTTTTTCTGTCTTGGTGTTAGCACTGCCTCTGGCTTTAAAAGGGAATAAAGTTGCTGTAAGTCAAAAGCTTCAAACACTAAAAACTAAGATCATTTTTTCTTCTTACTTGGAAAGTGAAAAGAAAATCCCATCATCCTAAGCAGGGAAATTATTTTCAGTTTTATACAAAACTAGAGATTATTTGTGGGTATTCAGTAGAGAAGTATTTTTTTTCAAATAGGGACCAGTTTCAATTATATCTCAGTGTTACAGTGCTGTGTGAACAGATTGTAATTGGCAAAGGATGATCTGGCTAATTGGCAGTGTTTTATCAAAGAGCAGATAAATTGGTGAGAAAGCAATTATTACTAGTTCTCACTTTGGTCATTAGTACTTAGAAAAAGTGTGGGTGGTCTTAGTAGAAAATTCACATTGTCTTAATTTATTTAAGAGTAATTCTGTTTTTTCGTATGCCTATTTATACAATGCTTAGGTTCTCTAAGACTTGTGATATCATACCAAAATATGTATAGCTTATCTTTTAGGAAGAGAAAACAAGCTATATTCCGGCCTTAGTACAGTTTGCATTTCATTTTCTTAAGCTCCACTGATGCAGAATTGTTTCATTAAAATTCAGTATCTGTGAGTAACCATAATGTTAGTCATTTTCAAACTTTTAGCTTTCCTCATATAAACGGTAATGCAGAACATACACATCCAAGTAGCATCAGTAAAGGACAGCTGTTCCCCTTGAATCCTGGGGAGGACACGGAATTTTTATGAGCTTACCTTTCCCACCCTCCTCAAGGTGGCCCTGAGCTCAGTGGGAGAAGCTGCCCTCTGCTCTGTGGGTCTTCTGGGTCGCAAGTTCTTTGGAGGATCTGATGAAAGCCATGGAATGCTTGTCCCACAAAAAAAAAAATTGGATATCGACACATAAATTATAAATGTGGCATGCAGTTTCAGGAGGTTCAAGACATTCTTAAACTTATCAGAGACACTACTTTAGGTACCTTTTCCTGTAAGAGTTCTTTTCATTTACTGCTGAGGTCTCAGAGTAGCTCATCTATAGTCCATTTGGTTGGAAGAGATCTGTAGCACATGCTAAGAGGACCCTGGGAACACCTCCCTCTTGGTGATACAACTCTCAGATAGTTTAGACACCAGTTTGAAGACACTAAAATGTTTGACTCATGACAGGCTTTATACAGATGTAGTAAAGAAGAATTTCTCAAAAGAATTTTAAGAAAATGCACTAATGAGTTGGCAGTCTTCACCTCATGAAACATTTAATCAGTCCTGTAAAATTCTATGCAAAACAAGTCATACTTGGTACTCGCATCTAGAAGACATGCCTCTTGTTCTTTGGGTGTTTTCAGCTATGTGCAATACAGTAGAAAACCAACTACCATATAGGAAAACTAAGGTGCTGTTTCCCTGCCTCCACCTCCCCACAAAATTGCCCCTATTCCTCAACTGTAATAGACACTACACATTTTATATTCTAAAATTTCTGCTGACAGCATAAGCTTGACAAGTCTTTGGTACCTGCAGTTTTAATACTTTGACTATCTTATTCCCAAACTACATCTAGTTAACTGATATACAGGATGGGGCTTCCTGACAAAAAGGGTGACAACATTAGAAAAAAAAATCCAGATGTTTTTGACTGAAATGGAGTGAAAGCACTGTTTCTACTTGTTTCTTTTTTTAAAGTGACTTTCTGATTCATTAAAAAATTTGCTGTCTTTCTTATACGTAACCCCTTTTATTCATATCAATAGTATTTATCAACTGTGTTCTATAAATGATGTGATTATAGATACTGTTATGTATTGTCCAGTGAAATCCCAAGGCAGGACCTAATGCTGTATCTTTTCTACCTTATTTGTAGTTTAAACTAGAGAATGTATGACTAAGAAGTCACTTTGAGACTGACTTTTTTAAAAAGTTAACTACCCTCTGCTGTTGCGAAGTGCAAAACTGTGAGTGGATATGTTTTCATTCTGACTTAATATGTTAGAAATTAGAGAATACAGTGGGAGGATTTTTAGACATTGCTGCTGCTGTTACCCAAGGTACTTTAGAAATTTTTCTTTAATAAAAAAAAAATCCCTTTGCTATTTAAAGTGAAGCATTTAGCCTGTTCGTCTTAATCTAAAGCAAAAAATAATTTGGATCAACATGCTGGTATATTTGTAAAGTGCCTTAATAAATCCTTTTGTGAAAGGCACTGCGGTTTACTTTTGTATTATATTGTATATGTAAGTATTTTGTATTAAAATTGAATCAGTGACAACACTACAGTTTTATGAAACAATGCTTTGTTAGAAATGGCATTAGAGCTCTGCAGTATAACTAATTGTTATGCATACTTCTGCATATAATAGATACAAATAATCACCTTGTGTTTTTAATGAACCTATTTGTATTTTCCCAATCATTTTCTCTAGTGTAACATTTGCTGGGATAATAAAAAAAAAAATTCAACTCTTTCAATCATGTGTGGGAAGTTGACTTTAAAAAATATATAAGATTTATTTACTTGAAAGGCAGTTAGAGAAACAGAAAGGAAGTCTCCATCAGCTGGTTCACTCCCCAAATGGTCGCAGTTGCTGAAGCTGGGCCAATTTAAAGCCAGAAGCTTCTCCTAAGTCTCCCACATAGGGGCAGGGGCCCAAGCACTTGGGCCATCCTCCACTGCTTTCCCAATTCATTAGATGGAAGCTGGATTGGAAGTGCAGCAGCCAGGCCTCAAACCAGTGTTTATGTGGGATAGCAGCCATCAAAGGCAGTGGCTCTATGTGATACAATAAGTCCAAGGAAGTTGATTTTTTTCTGTCTTATGTTAACTTTTTTATACGAAGATTTTTTAAATGTATTTTTATTGAAAAGGCAGATTTAAAACAGAAAGAGAAACAGAAAGACCTTTCACCTGGGGAGCTGGTTCACTCCTCAAATAGCCAGCTGAGCAGATCTGAAGGCTTCTTCTGGGTCTCCCACGTAGGTGCAGAGATCCAAGGCTTTCGGCTGTCCTCCACTGCTTTCCCAGGCGACAGGCAGGAAGCTGAATGGGAAGTGAAACAGCTGGGACTCCAACTTGTGTCTGTATGGGATCCTGATACTTACAGTAGGAGGATTAGTCAACTAAGTGATCGTGCTGGTCCCTTTTCAAAGATTTATTCAAATCTTTCATCTTTTTATTCTCAGAAAATGTATGACTAAGAATTTGATGCTTTGGCGTTAGCATTTGTGTAACTTGGAGGATGGTACCTAGTCATATTAAGGGTAGCAATTTAGTGTATGCCAGCAAAATGTTTTCATTTCGTCTGGTATAAGTATACACATATTTTGTGTTAAAGGCTTCCTTTAGAGTACAGGTCTTTAACTTGTATTTAGTACCATTTGGATACTGGTTATTACGGGAAGTTGTTGATTAATGATTTTCTTTGTTTGCAATCCTTTATCACATGAAATGCTTGATAGACTATTAATGCTGTGATATCTTTTTTCTTTTTTAAGATTTATTTATTTTTATTGAAAGGCAAATATTCGGAGAGGAGGAGAGACAGAGAAGATGATCTTGTGTCTGATGGTTCACTTCCAAGCGGCCGCAATAGCTGGAGCTGAGCCAATCTGAAGTCAGGAGTCTCTTCTGGGTCTCTCACACGGGTGCAGGGTCCCAAGGCTTTGGGCCATCCTGGCCTGCTTTCCCAGGCCACAAGCAGGGAGCTGGATGGGCAGTGGAGCTGCCAGGATTAGAACTAGCTCCCATATGGGATCCCATTGCATTCAAGGCTCTGACTTTAACCACTATGCTATCATGCCAGGCCCATGCTGTGATATCTTAAATCAACTTTATACAGATGATCAAATACGAAGTTTTTCATTGTAATGTCTCGTTATTTCCGTGAGCAGCAGGGAAAGAGAATGCTGCCTCTGCTGCTTCAATCGCTGAATACCCACAACAACTGCAGCCAGGCCAGGTTAAACCAGGAACTAAATATAGGTTTCCCATGTGGATGGCAGGAAACAAGTTACTTGAGTCTTTGCCTCCCTCAGTCTAGCTGGGAAAAAGCTGGACTCAGAAGTGAAAGCTAAGTATTGAACCCAGATACCCTGATCCTGGGTGTAGGTGACTTAATTTGCATTAACTGCTAGGCTAAATCCTGCCTGTTAGGTCTTCTTTCATCCTCTTGTTTGCACCCTCCTTTGAAATCTGTCTTTGGTCTATGCAATGCTGTAGTGTAGCTTACACAAAACATATTGTTTCCATGATTAATTTTTACTACATTATAGACCCATGTTTAGCATGCTTTGAAGTATGACTCTGCTGTGCCAAATCCCTTCTTGTCCCCTCACATTTCTGATGATGACATTTGTGGAGGGGAAGGAAAGTTGCCAAATATATGTTTGAAGCATAGACATCTGAATATCCCAGAATTCAGTCCCTCCATCATGTTCCCCACTAGATTCAACGCTGGGAAAACTTGGAGTTGTTTCCCCTAGACAGAAGTTAGGTTTGTTCTTGGGCAGGAGAAAGTCTCACAAGTGCCCAGCTCCCTGAGGGACTAGTGACCAAGGCTGCTCTTGCTCATTAGTATTCATTCTTCCAATTTTTCCTTTCACTCTCAGAGCCCCCATGTTTTCAATTTCGTGACTGCCACACATTGCATGGTTCTTATACTCCCTTCTAATTAGTTGTGGCCACATGACCAGGTGTTGGCCATTAGGATAAGAGCAGACATGACACGAGCCCTTACCTTGTTCGGCCTCCACTTATTCTTGCCCCTGCCCGCAGGACAGAACATACTGATGACCTGTATCAACCATGAATACTAGGGAAGTACTGAAGTGATGATGGATCAACAAACAGAATCTAGTAACCTGAGGGATTGTGTGAAGCAGGGCTGTCTGTCCAGCCTGGACTGATTAGGTGCCAAATACCAGAGAGAAATGAAACTCATTACTGTTCCTGAGCTTACATCCTAGGTAACATGTGCCATTTGCATTAGCATAAAATCTGTTTGCAGAACAATTTAACGAAGTCAGTTGATACATGTACCACATCCCATCCAACCATGAAATTTAATTATTTTACCCCTGAGGTATTTCTCCAGCTCATCATCTTTGTCCTTATTGTTCCAGATCAACCCAACTCCAGCTGTTACAGCCATTAGGGGAGTGAACCAGTAGATGGAAGACCTTTCTTTGTCACTCTTTCTCTCTCTGTAACTGGTTTTAAAATATGTAAGTGTTAAGGAGGAAGGAAGGAAGAAGGAAGGGAAAGAAGAAGGAAAGAAAAGAAGGGAGAAGGGGATTTAAAAAAAAAGGAATGAAAAAAAAGAAGAAATTGCCAACACTGTGGTATGATGTGCAAAACTGACACCTGCTGGCCCAGCGCAGGAGCATGGCAGCTGAAGTCCTCATCTTGCACAGGCACCAGGATCCTAGGAGTACCAGTTCGTGTCCCGGCGGCCCTGTTTCCCATCCAGCTCCCTGCTTGTAGCCTGGGAAAGCAGTCGGGGACAGCCCAAAGCCTTGGAACCCTGCACCCACATGGGAGACCTGGAGGAGGCTCCTGGCTTCAATTCAGCTCAGCTCCAGCTATTGCAGCCCATTTGGGGAGTGAATCAGCAGAGAGAAAATCTTCCTCGCTGTCTCTCTTCCTCTGTGCATCTGACTTTCAAATAAAAATAAACCTTTAAAGGAAAAAAAACCTGCCACATGGCAAGTGCCAGATCCCAAATGGGTACCGGATTGTGTCCCAACTGCTCCACTTCCCATCCAGCTCCCTGCTTAAGCTCCGGGAAAGCGGTCAAAAATGGCCCACGTGTCTAGGACCCTGCACCCACATGGGAGACCCAAATGAAGCGCCTAGCACCCGGCCTCTGCCTGACCCATTGCTGGCTATGGCAACCATCTGGGGAGAGAACCAATGGATTCAGGATCTCATTATCTCTCTTTCTCTCCTTCTGTATAACTCTGACTTTCAAAAAAGAAACTAAAACCAACAGAGGCCAGACACTTGGCAGTCATGAACGTGAATGTCATACTCTCTTGAGAGCAAATAGTTAACTAATAACTTCAGCTGCTGTGGTCTGAATCTATTGCCTGAGACCTGGGCCAGGGCAGCCAGCGGCTCTAGCAGTGACTGATCCAGCAGGCGTGCTACAGCAGCTTCTTTCCGGCAAGAAGCGTGATTGCTCTGATGCATTGCCTTGAGTTGGGAACTTGCCATTGGTCGTGTCAAAATGTATTCAGAACAGAATTACAAGCTCAGATCTTTCCCACACAACCTCTCTCCTCTCCTTCACAGAGTTTAAACCTACATTATTGCTATAGTTGTCTCTTCCATCCTCCTACCACCCATATATTCTCCTACATAGGAGATGGCTTCTAAAAAGCTCTTACAAGTCTAATTTTTGTTCGTATATGTATGCTTCTTGGAGGAGTTAAACTATCACACCACCTCATAGACACATTGCTGGAAACTAAAATTAACAAGAACACTTTCAAAGAGAAAAACTAATACATCTGAATATGCACTGACATACAACAACTGTATCTTTAAAATCCTAAGGGGCAGTGACATTATGGCCCAGTAGGTTAAGTTGCTGCAGCAATGATGGCATCCCACATGGACCCCGGTTCGAGTCCCAGCTATTCCATTTCTGGTCTGGTTCTCTAATACTCTGCTTGGGCAAACAGCTGAGCATGGTCTAGGTACCTGGGCCCCAACCAGCAGTGTGGGAGACTCAGATGAATCTCCTGGATTCTGCACAGAACAGCTCTGGCTGCTGCTGCCACATACAACATTTTTCTCTTTCCCTCTGCTGTGCTGCCCTCCAAATCAATCAATCAAAGCTTATTTTTTAAAAGCTGAATGAAAAAAATTAAGATGGGAAAAAGTAAACTCAAAATTTAGATTGGAGGTGAAATAAGGTAATTTCAGATGAAACATCAGCAGAAGACCTTCGTTACAAAAAACTAAAAAAAAAAAAAAGTTGATTCTTTAGGCTAAAGGAATACTTGGATTTCCAGTAGTAAAGAATTCCGGGGAATATGATTATCTGTATGTATAAAATATAAAATACTTTTCTTCCTCTTTATTTTTAAAAAACACACGCCTTTTTCCTTTTCTTAAAAAAATATTTGTTTGATCCCAGTGCGGTAGCTTAGCAGCTAAACTCTTCACTTTGCATGCACCAGGATCCCATATGGGTGCTGGTTGAAGTCCTGGGCCCCGCTTCCCATCCAGCTCCCTGCTTGTGGTCTGTGAAAGCACTTGAGGATGGCCCAAAGCCTTGGAACCCTGCACCTGTGTGGGAGACACGGAAGAAGCTCCAGGCTCCTGGCTTCAGATCAGCTCAGCTCCGGCAGTTGTAGCCACTTGAGGATGAATCAAAGGACAGAAAATCTTTGCCTCTCTGTATATATATATATATATATCTGATTTTCCAATAAAAATAAAAACTACTTTTAAAAATATTTAATTT